CCCAAGGGCAGGATCCAGCACTTTGCCTCAGTGAACTTCATACCTTTGGCCTTGGCCCATTGATCCAGACTCTCCAGATTCCTTTGCAGAACCTCCAGAAGATCAACAATCCTGCTCCAATCAGTGTGTCTGCAAACTGACTGACGGTAGACTTGATCCTCTAGTCCATCATGTTGACAGAAAGCATTTTTATGCCAAGTGGAGTAGTTGTTTTGTAAATAGAAATCTTCAGTTGCTCTTTAACAGGCTTTTCAAAATCTGAGCATCTTGTTCTGTTTAGACATTTAACTATTATGCTTGTCATACTTTGTTTATTAAATAGAAACCAGTCAATATAAACCTTGCTATGTTCAGAACCCACGCAGCACAGAGAAAATCTCCTCCACAATAAGCCAGGGGCAAAGCACTTCCAAGGTAAATGAATGTAAGCCTGTGCTGCAGTATGCTTATTTAACAGTGCTGCAAAACCCTACTTAGTGAAATAGCAGAGTAGTTGAAAGAAAGATTTATAAAGCAACAGAAAAAAATCAATTGTGGGCCCTTTTTCACAACCAGAGAATAATCACCTAATGAAATTGAAAGCAATGCATGCAACACACAGTAATTGTTCAATATAAGTAATTATTGTATACAAGTAGATTTAATCTCTAAAACTCAGTGTTGTAGGGTACGGTTGAATTCTAAAGCTTTGCACATCAACAGGAATATTCAGCTCCTCCCCAGGATGCCAATCCTTATTCAAAACAATCCAAGCAATATCTAAAGAAATCACAAACATTGCTCAGGTGTCATCGCACACTTGTTATAGGGCAGCACTGGTTAAAGCCTCCCTACAATCAAGAAGTGAACTAAATAGGCTTTGCCACTCCTGTCATAAACAACAGCAAATTCTTCCAACACAAATCCAAACACAAAAGAGCAAGTGCCTTCATTATATATGACTCCGAGGAGAAGAGAAATTATCAAAAGAGGATCACTGGAACAGAATGCAAGACAGAATCTGCCATAAAAACACACAAAAACAGAAAGCAAGAAAATCCTTCCAATTATCATCAGAGAAAGGCAATATTGAAAAAAAATATCATTACAACAGTTTTAGCTTTAGCTTGGTAAGTATGGAAAGTAGCCACCATTGCTTCCCTTTTTTCCTTGTTCTGTAGTCCCTCTCAAGAGACAGGGCCAAACCCACAGCCAGAGGTAGGAGCTATGCCAGCTGCTACCACTGCTTCAACAGATATTGGAAAAGCCAGTGAGACAAGGATAACTAAGGGCATTGTGAAAACTCTGTAGGATCCCTAGCATGGCTATCAGCATCAACAAGCAGGAGAAGAGGCTCAAGTTGAGCCTTGAACAGCTCAAGTTACCATTAATAAATCAAAACAACCTTGGTTCAAATAGTTTGGGTAGCAGAGACAATCTCTTAATAGTTGTACTTTCTTCAGTTTCCCAAATTGCTGTTTTTAGAGTTTATCGGTCAAATCCAACAAAGTTAAGTAAGTCTTACTGCACAGAGTTACATCAGAGGCTAGCCAAGATTTATTCACAATAGATCAGCCATTAAAATGTACTATTTTCAAATTACAATAATCTAATTTTATAGATTCAGTGTCTAATGGACCCACAGCAAGACAGGCAACATTCCCAGACTGCTAAGCATATCCTCTTAACCAGTCTCATCCATCAGGGCTGCCGAACAGCATTGCTGTGGATGTCTCAAGAGAATAATTTCCATCACATACCGAGCACAAACTGCAAAACCTCAACTTTTCACAGTCACTGCTACTTTTTTTTCCTTTAATTTCAATCAGTTGACATTCCTTTTAATAGGATGGGTAGCATCAGTCTCTCCAGCAATCAGAGAAGATATGCAAAAAAGCTTGATTTCCCATTCCCTGACTTATTTTTGTTACAAAGCCCCCAAGAGAAATAAATACATCAATAAAGAGTAAGGTCATTCTGGGAACATATGCAGTAAGTATTCCCCATGTAATAAGAGCTTAAGAAATGGTTTATAGAAGAGGAGCCTCATGATGAATTACAAGCAGATCAGAAGAGCTGCATTTGTGTTCCTGAACAATCCAATCACAATAACAAAGAGAGATGTAAGCTTTACTGGAAAACACCACTTGCAAAAATTTAGATTCTATAAAGTCTTTTTACATTCTCTTTCTTTCTCTTAAAATTCTATTCTTCCACACAAGCTCCAAAACTTGCTAGCCAGAGAGCTTTTTTAGATCACAGTTCTATTTCAAGTGTATTTTCCTTTAAAATAAAAAACATGGAAATTAAATTTTCCAAAGAAAAGAGCCATTAAAAACTATCATCAAAGTTCTTCTCAAATCCACAGCATCCTTTCTCATCAACATTCTTCACAAATTCAATCAGTTAAAACCAAAAAAAGAGTTATAGGCTCATGCATATAAACTTATATTTGACAAACATTTCATTACAAAAAAAGTTAAGAAATCATCTATTACCATTCAGTCTCAGCACATCCTGAAAATGTAAGCACCTCTTCCTGAATGTCAGGGAAAGTACTCATACAGCCGAAATGTAAGAAACTCTTAGAAGTGCTTAGCCCAAGTACTAAATATATGCCACTGGCAGCAATTGATTTGTGATACTTCAGCTAACTCTGTGATGTATTTAACACATAAAAGACTCCAGTTTCATCGTGGAGAGAAGGACTCAATGTTAGCAGGTAGCAGCTTCCAGCACTTGAATACTGTCATTAGAACTGGTTTCGGCAGTTTATACGCACAGCATTTATGCGCCTTCTTGTTCAGGCATTAGTAGCTAGATCACACTCTTGAATCACTCAATGAAAGGCACCTTAAAATAGAGCTGGGGTCTGGGTTCACTTTTAGCCCTGTAAACACAGAGCAGTTTAATTGACTCTTATGTTTAAAGTCAAGGTGCTGAATTTAGTCTCAGGCTCCTCTAACACAATCCAGGAGGGGACAAGACTGACACATGTGAACCAACAGAACACTAAGCAAAGGTAAGCATTCTTTGGAAAGGCAGGTTGCTGTAACCCACACAAACAGACAGAAGAAATCAATCTCTGACATGGAAAAAAATTAACATCCCCATTTTTCTTAGTATTATGTATTACTTCTACTCTGATTTTTTTCTCCTTTGAAGAATAAAAAGTGAAGAAGATGAAGTCTTTCCTTGGCTAGGCCTACACAGCTACCCAGAACAGAATGGGAACCATTAGTTGATACAACTAAAAGGAAGCATGGTGCAGTAATTTCTGACTGTGTTGAAGTCGTGTGTGCACACTGAAGCCAATGAGCAGAAAGACTTTCCCCTGATCTGACCTAGTTCTGTCAAGGATTCACACATGGAGACAGTGGGTGTAGAGGTGACACATGCAGTATCTTCTAAAATTTGGAAGGCAACACCTCACAGTAAAAGACACTTAAGACTTTGATGGAGAAAAGAAAGCTGGCTGAACTCTAGAAAATTCAGAGAAGATATCAGAAGCCTGCCCAGACCTGTAGGAGTACCATGAAGTGAACAAAACCAAACCTAAAAACAATTATGGCGAGAAGTGCCAGATGGACAGTTGGTTTCAGGACAAAGCTACCTGATGCTGCAAGTATATTCCATTTGGAAGGAGATACAGATTTAAAGAATCCTCTTGGTTTGTTTTTTTCTTTCTTAAGCAGCATGCAAATAATATTTTAGAACCCCATTATAATTAAAAAGACATTACAAAATTTTCTGGATTCTGAATTAGTGCTGTCTGCAATTTAACAGGTGCAGCATATTACAAAAAGGTACTGTCCCAAAAGAGTCTTCACACAAAATGAACAAAGAATAACAGAAATAAGGATCAAAAGCTCAAAGAAACATTAATCCTTCACTAAATTATTCTGAAATGCAAATGTCAATTAGCTCCTACCCAATGTATACCCAACCATTGGAAGGCAGGTTCTGCAGAAACACTGGAACAGGCTGTCCAGAAAGGCTGTGGAGTCCATCCTTGAAGCTACCTACACAGGGCATGACTATGCACATGCCTGAGGAACCTGCTGGAGCTGACTGTTCTGAGTGGGATCATGGACTGGAGGATGCCCAGAGGCATCCTCCAGTCCAGCAATTCCATGATAAGATTAAAATGGATTTTTTGTGAAATTATTTAACAATGATGGGTTTTTTCACACAGTGGATCAGAGAGGGTGCTCTGTATGAAATTAAAAGTTTTGATAAAATACCAAACAAAATACAACTGGGAACGAAGCCTACAAATGATTTTTACATCTGCCTGGTGGACAGAAGAGGCCAAGAAGATGACTCAGGAAAAGCACCGGTCATCACTAATGAAAAGATTAATGGAGGAAGCTGACAGTGAGGAGCAGCAAAATGAAATTCACAGTCAGGAAATGAAAGGCCCAAAAAACTAATCACCTACTTAAAACTAACAGGACCAAAAGTTAAGAGATATACACAGCCATGGCAGGTGTCTGAGGCAAATCTTAATTGAACACTGTCAATACTCATCTTTGTGATAATATCACTAGTTTCCTCTACAGTTCGTAGGTAAGCCACTGTGTCTATAACAGGAATGCATCAAGAAGGAAATAAAAAGCTAAAGCTCCTCCTACACAGAAGGGACAGCAATCTTAGGTCAAAAGGCATCACTGACCTTTCTGGGGAAAGAAAGAAAGAGGCAGTCTTGATGAGAAATAGACATGAAAGAATTGGGAACTATGTGATCCACCTCAGTACTCCATTACTGAAACTTAATGTGCTTTGGCTTAGGATTTCAAAATAATTGATCTAACATAAGGGTCTTGCTCAAAACACACCACAAAAAATAACTTCAAAAAGTGTGCTTTGTTTAACTAACCTCCAAAATGAGAAACCATTTCTTCCTGTTAGGTGCTCTTCCCAATAACACCAAAGGACCATGGCAATTACTTCATGCCCTTATGTAACACACGTATGTTCCTTTCCACCCCAAAAGAGAAGTTTTGTTTGTTACCTCTTACCGACAGTTATTTTGACAGTTCTTTTCTGAGAGTCCATCCTCATCTTCTCCCATAATATCCACTGCCGAAAATATCAGTGCAACCAGAATTGCAAAGCAGCATACCAGTGCAAAGATCACAATGCATCTTTGCTGGGACTGAAAGAGATTAAGATTAAAAAAAAGTTTTAATGGCATGAGCACATTCTAGTCAACGACTTGTGACTCTGAAATTTTACATAAGATCTAAATTTCTCTGAAGACCTTACTGCAATAGCTGTCAACATGAAACACACCTCAAGATGAAAACACTCTCAAAACTGTCCTTCATGTATCACCTTGAGATGTATTTTAAATCTCTCAGACACTGTTTAATAATTCATATCACAAATAATATTCATAATTTAAACTGCTTTCTGTTTGTACCACAAGGAAAGCATTACGCATTAAAATAATGACTCCTACATTAACTACGTATTTTCTGATTGCAGCTCACAGGTAAAGTACACACTCGGGATGGCACTTAAAATTTTGTTGTGTTTGGTTGAAATAAAACATGTCGTTGCAAGAAGACTGAAGAGCAAAGTCTTTTTTTTCCTATTGCTACAAAAAGTACCTGACGTTGTCACTATGACTGTCACAGCCACTCAGACATTTTGGGAAGTCCTTGCCGCACAATATCTATAATATAATGAACACAAATTCACAGATTATGAATGGGATTCAAGGAAACAATGGGAGGCTGTTGCTCAGTACAATAGGCAATGCCTTCCACATCTCAGATTAAATATTAAAACATGGCATAGCACTACCTTATGAAATCTTGCAGTAATAAATCAGATGCACCTGGTAGCGCCCTAAATAAATGTGAAACCTCCTAAAGACAGTTTCTTGACATGCAATTTACATAGCTGCATAAACATAAAGTACATTCTGTTCTGAAACCAAATGTTCAAACAAATATACTGTGCATTTTCCTACTGAAGTAAATTTAAACAAGACCACACCCATATATAAAAAACATCAATGTCTAATTTCTGTTGCAATAGGAATTTTCTTAATTTTCATTATTGCTCCATAATTAAAATGTCACATGAAGGAAAAGGCCTCATAAAGGAATGGGAAAGCAGGAAAGCATGAAAAATGTAAGGGAAAGAAAAAAAACATTACACTAGCAGCTGATAACCCATTTCACAATATTTCCATTGTTCCTTATTTTTGTTTAAGAGGCAGTAAGTTTCAGAGTAGTAGGAACATTTTCCCATACACCTACAGAAAAGTCTAAGTTTTATTTTAAATAAAATTTCCAATACTTCCTAGCTAGTGCACTTCTTAGGAGAAACATGCTCATGTTTCATTTCAGAATAAATAAGATATAAAGATTTTATTTTAATCTGTGAAAATACAAAACACAGCAAACAACTTCTTCAGACAAACAGGAAAAACTCATCCAAAATTTAGTGACCAATGTAGCTTTTAACAGTAATACCAAATGTGTGGTTCAGTTTATAAGCGTGTTTTAAATGCAATACATATTAGACACTTTTATACATTTCAAATATATATTTAAATCTGTATTTCTATTATATAAACTAAAATCTTACCAGAATACAGCATAAAAAAATGTTCTTCAGCCATAACAAAGCCAACTCATGAAAGAAAATTTGGAAAGTTTTTTTTTTTTTTCCTGCTGCTAAGTAGAATCATGGCAACATTGGAAAAGAGTTGTAAATTACTGCACCTGGGTGTCCAGAACTAAGGCTGCACAGTGGGACTTAGGAGAAAGCTGTTAAACACTCTCATTGCTTCATACTACTAGCAAGAAAAACTAAGAAGTGCCGAAGAAAAGCAGGTATTCAGGTCTGGGACATGGCTGTATGCCATTTCTTCACCAGGACACTTCAGACTGCTGTTAGGATGACCATTGTCTCATGCAGGTTTCTGCAGTACTGCAAGTGCATTCACAGAAATTCTTTGATGCAGGTTCCTCCACATGCTGAACGTATGTCTTGGCAGCAATACAGCAAAGCTACTCCCATAACCGGCAAACCAAAAAGAGCCTGGGCTTGTTTTCTAGTCCCTAGGATCAGGGGATGTGACACAGCAGGGCTCACAACCATAGGGCTCTTTTTCCTCCCACATCAGGCTAAATGCCGCCATTCTACACACTGGGACTAATTTTGAGTTACTCTGGATAAATCTGTAGCACGAGCATCCTAGCTGCCACACTGTGTGAAAGAAAGACTTCATGCTATTGCTCCAGGGAGTAATTCCCATCTTGTTACACTGCTATGCAAGCTGCACAACAACCACAGAGAGTAGTGGACCAGCAGGGACCGCATCAGCCTCCGAGGCTGGCCAGTACTCACAGAGACAGCAGGAGATGTTTCACTGAAAGGTGGCCACCGTGTTGTAAGTCACAACACACCTCTAGAAACCTCTCAGCCTGCTTAAAGCTCGAAGGCCCAATCAATATAAAACCTACAGAGAACCAACAATAACATGGTATCACAAGGAGGAGAGGGTGTGGGGGAAAAAGGGCATCTGCAACAGATGCTTAAAGTTAAATACCAGGAAATCGTATGGCAGCAATTTCTAGGTGCTCATGGTAAAGCACTATGGAAAGGGGAAGTCAAAATAATTCTGAATGGATCCTCCTAATCTAACTTTAATTTCCATTCCGCATAATTTTGGGAAATGTATTCAAGGTTTCTTGACTTCTGTATCAAAGCTGAAAATTGTATGAAGTTTAAATCCTTGTCTTTTCATGGATACAGCTTGTCAAGCTCTGCATTTTGTGAGTACTGCTCACTGCAAGCAGCACAAGCTTAGTACCATTAGTAAGAACACTGCTATTCTACCAGCACTAAAATAAAGACAGAACCACACAAACCTATTTTACTGCTCTTATTTCACAGATCCTTTATATTATGCAGTTGTCTTTGACAAGTGTAATGAATTAATTATCTCACTTCTTCCTAAGTACCAGCTTAACTGTATGGTTACAAATAGCATAGGGAATCTTTTAAATCAAAATTCAAAAAAACCCCTGTGATGACAGTAGTTTTTCTTTGAACTCAAGACAGTGCAAAACAGTAAATAACATAAAGCAAAGATTCCACGTTTGTGATCCTCCTAACTCTACATTTTCAGCCACAGGTCTGAAGGGTTAAGTAAAAGCAAGTAAAAAAAATGTAAAGAGAGTAAAGAAGATTTAAAAAAGTTTCACAGTTCATGTTGAACTTACTCCTGCTGAGTGATGGGTTTGTCATTGCATATACTACATTACAAATTAATGTTTGGAAATTGTTTATACTAAAATTCATATTTATACTAGAAAAGAAAGAATAAAAAACAGCTACTTGCATCAAATCAGTCTTCTGAGCCTATCGTTTCGCAACGGTAATAAGTCTTTATTTTCACACACTTTGCCATAATGCTGACCATTTTAAAATAACCTTATTCTAATTGAAACAGATGAGGGTAGACCATATCCCTGATCTATTATACCATCCATGCATGCCTCTGTGTGCATCTATGCGCAAGGAATAGCAGGCATCATTAAAGAATCCAAAATCAAAGTGCTCACACCACTGACAGAGTAGAAGGGACCCACTAGGCTGCTCCTCAGACCCCTGTGTCAGTGGGCTTGGGCAGACTGTTTGATGCTGTCTTGTTGCACATCCCCTTGGCAATTGGGATCCCTCTGAGCTTATGAGATCTATCCTTCTGTTTCCTCCAGTAAATGACCCAGCATTCAAGCCTTCAGTCTTCAACCCTTAATTACAGAATATAGGGATCTCTAAAACTTATGCCATCCCTCTATCCATATATATAATTAATTTGTACAAATATTAATTCCAACAGATATTTATTTAGCCTGTCCTAAAAAATCTAGAGTTGAAAGAGATCCTGTAGTCTTTTCAGGCAACCCCATCCCATATCTAAGCACTTGACTGATGCCTAACTTAAGTCTCTTATGCTGCAACAATCCTTTTTTTCGTTCCTGTACTCATCAAAAACAGTGAAGAGAGCATTTCATTCTCTCTTACATATTTAAAGGCTGCTATAGATGCTAAGAGGCCTGGGTCCAGACCCCCTACAAGTTTGACTATACTGATGGACAGAAATTCTGTTGCATGAAAGAAAAATTTGTTCGGGGTGTAAGGAAGATTGGGAAAAAACTCCTACAGGAACAAAGACTATCAAAAATACTGTCAGTAAAATGTGTTTCTTTAACCTAGCTCAACTAGCTTAAACAATACCTAAGTTAAAATAAATCCACCGAAACACTAATTTCTAAAACAAATCATGGGGATTTTTTCATGCTGTTATAGCTCTACGGAGAGAGTGAGAAGAAAAGCCAAAAGCTGCACAATGGTTATTCAGTACAGTACTATTCAGACTAAAGTTTAATCTGTGAAGGACCTGGTTGTTTATTATTATGAGAAAGGATAGCCTATGTCAATTAAGCTTATCAGAGCCTGTGATACCCATGCAGAATTGAGAATAAGAGCAAGAAAAAGGTCTCCATCTTTACTGTACACAGATTGCTCAAAAGCTGTTAAGAACACTACATTGGCTCCTGAAGCTTTCAGCTTCTTCACAAACAACAGGCATTTCTTTGAGACTGGGATTTTAATCAGGAATTTATTCTTCCTCCAATGCAGTACAAGAATGTCTTCTCCCAAAAAAAGGAACCATGAAATTGCAATGCTCCGTCTACTGATAAAACTGACTATATAACAGAACATATCATGGCTTTGAACTTGTGCTTTATTTTTTTAGACCTATTTACAGACTGAAGAAGCAATACTTATACACCACACTAATACAGGCTCTAAGAGGCAGGCTTTCACATCTTTGGTCATTTCATTAGTCTGCTCCTTCCTGCAACACACATGAACAAAAATGCGACAACAAAAGCACTCATCTGCAACACCCATGACTGTTTGACAGACCTCAAAGAGGTGTTTATGAGTCAGGTTCTATGGGGTGATGCAATACACCTGCCAAAGATAGCAAGGAACTGGACTTGAAGAATTAGCAATCATTCCTGATTACCCTTGGTCATGTGCGTTTATTAGAGAAAAACATTACTATTACTATTAATAAGATTACTATAACATTATTACCATTTTAACAGTATTACTATTAAC